TTTCTCCTGAACACAATTTCTTGGGAAATGGGACACAAAAAATTCATTCTTTAGCCTAAACAAAGGCCTTAAATGACTTGCCCAAAGTCAGTGTTTAGTTTAGTCCCTGCTTCAGCCACAACTGTCCCTTTCTTTCCCTTGTGTTAATCAGTTGCTAATATCACTTACTTTTGACGTACACAGTACTTCCACTTGGCAAGACGACTACATTGGAGGCAGGACTGGCAGGTCTGGGGGACTTCACTGTTGCTACACTGCCACTTGGAACAGGGGTGGATGTTGGGGTTGAAGTGGTACTTGTGTAGGAATAGCAAACCACCACTGAAGAGGAGAAAAGACACCTTCCATATAACTCAAGTGCAGAATTCCCATTATTCTATCACTATTGTCAACAACTGAAATGGAAGCCAAAAGCTTATTGGGGCATTATCCAGATCTTTGCCTCTTCAATCCCATTACTGTGGGATACTCCCCAGTTTGAGCTACACATGGCCATGAAATTAATGGGCTTCAAAGACAACACAGATCTAACCTCCCCTCCTCCCATCCCCAGAAATCTGTGCTGCCAATGGGAGATGTTTTCGTCTTAATTTGATGTTTTACTTTATAATTAGTTATTTTTCATTGTAGCATTAATTCAATACTTCAATCTTTTTGCTTCTCTATAAATGACCATATCTAGATTAGTAACTGCCTCTCCTTTACAGCTTAAGAAACCAAAATATTCCTTCAGTAATGAAGAGCTACTTTTGCTAATCAGCTTTTTTAAACCACTACATATAAGTAATAGCAAAATGATCCAGTATTACCCACAAACCAGGATAAAATAGCCTGTTTCAACAAGTGTTACACATTCTCTACCTACATGAAGCATCATTCAAGCCTGTTCAGCTAAGCTACCTGGAATGTGTATTAACATTATTTAAAAGGCACAGGGAAAGCAGAAAGCAAACTTAACTTGTTATCTTAGTATGTTTAATCTAAAGCAAAAAAACCCCAAACCAATGTTTTCTTGACTTTCACCAAAACCTACTTTAAGTTCTTTAAATACAACATTCTCAAATACCTTTCATCACTTACAGAACTTCACAAAATCTTTAGCCACTGGTTTAAGATTTTAAAGTTTAGAAGCTGAAGAAGTTAATTAGTGAATGTTCCCCTCATTTCTTGACAAATTGGGGTGTTTTATATTTCAGCTCTAGTGTGCTCACCAACACAAAGCTGCAGATTTATGCTGCAAAGGCATCTTTAAAAAAGTGGTTTTTTCATATTTATATGAATACTGTTCAGTAAGAAAGAGTTGGATCTTTTATACCATAGAATTATGGAATGGTTTGGGTTGGAAGAGACCTTAAAGCTCATCCAGTTCCACCCCCTGTCATGGGCAGGAACACTTTCCACTAGCCCAAGTTGCTCCAACCTGGCCTCAAAATAATACCTAACACTGAAAATCTAAGACATCAATTTCCACTGTGACACTGACTTTCCCATAGATTGGAGCAGAATCCCGTATTTCTCTCACCTTCTTTGTTCCCAGTCTCTGCAGGAACTGGCAGAGATGCGTTGTGCTGCACAGCTGCATTGGCAACAGCATTGGCCGTGACGGTGAAAGCTGTTTGGGGAACAAGTCGTGGCATCAGGGGCACCAGACGACGACCTTCTATGGACCACTCAGAGGAGCTGTTTGGGCCAGACATGCTAAACAGAAATGCACAATCTGTAAATATATTGACAAGTTTCCAAATACTCAGTATTCTTATTTAAGCACCCTTTTTTCCCCCCAAGAGTCTAAGACTTATTTGAGTACTAATATTTGGCTTTCTTCATTTCAGGAGAGCTCTTGTGCTTTCCCCACCTGATATAGAAATCCTCCCATATTAAACTGAAGAATCACAAAATCAATCAGGTCAGCAAAGACCTCTGAGATCATCAAGTCCAACCTATTACCTAATACCACCATGTCAACCAGACCATGGCACTAAGTCCCACATCCAGTCTTTCCTTAAACACCTCCAAGGATGGTGACTCTACCACCTCCCTGGGCAGCACATTCCAGTGTCTAATCACCCTTTCTGGGAAGAAATTCCTCCTGATGTCCAATCTAAACCTCCCCTGGTGCAGCTTGAGACTATGTCCTCTTGTCCTCTCACTAGTTGCCTGGGAGCAGAGTCTGACCCCCATCTGGCTATACCCTCCTGTTAGGGAGTTGTAGAGAGTGAAAGGTCACCCCTGAGCCTTCTCTTCTCCAGGCTAAACAGTCCCAGTTCCCTCAGCCTCTCCTCATAGGACTTGTGTTCCAGGCCCTTCCCCAGCTTCACTGCCCTTCTCTGGACACCCTCCAGCACCTCAATGAACTTCTGGCTGTTAGGCACTCAAACCTGGACACAGCACTCAAGGTGTTAAGAGTTGCTTCTTCCTTTATTGCTTTGTCTCACAGAGCCCCTTGAGCCAGAGGAGCGTGGATGTCACACTCAAACCCCTGTATTAGATTAGCTACTATCTCTAGTACACTCTACTTCTGGATGACAAAAATACCAGAAACCCCAAAGATTTCCACTGAAATGGATGATGTTACAGGGAAAACCTTCAGTTTCTAAAACAAATTTTGTTATACCTAAGCAGAAGAGTTTCTCAGACTTATTCAGGTAGTCACAAACAAGGTAACACAAAATGAAATAGTTTAAATCCACCCTGATCATCTTCCTAAACAGAAGAGTATTCTGCTCTACTTTTCTCTTAACCTCAGTACTTACACACAAACCAGAATGCTTCATAAAAACACTGTTCTTATCTAGACGTAGAAGTGTTTCTGTTCATGACTGTTTTACAGGACTCATTTGTCAAATCAGCAAAACCAAAGTGGTAAATCATTTTTCAGTGCTGTGATGTTCTTAAGCAAATCAACATATTTAATGTATTAATATATGCTGAAAAACAACTTCTCATATGAACTCTTGAAGGCAAGTTGCAGCAAAAGCTACTACAAATTAGTTTGTAAAACACAGGATCTGCTCTGTTGTTAAATCTTGATATGCTTCAGTGTTCTTCATACATATTCATATAGTATAAGAACTACATGAGCTGAGGGAAAAAAACATTTTTAAAAAAAAAAAAAAAACAACCAAAAATATAACAGTACAAATGGGCATATAGTAAAGCTAGCAAAGTTGGCTTTCCTAATGAGGTTGGAATTACCACATATTTTACTAATTTGACCAATTACACACAAGGTATTACCACAAGAAAAATAAAGGGAAGCTGCACTACACAACTGCATCTTGTCTGGGTTATATCTCATCCAAGTGCAACACCTCAGGACCAGCTATGCATGTTCTGCAAAATGCTAAGAACAAGACTACCTCTTAAAAAGAAAACTTGATGCAAGAAAAGGATCCTAGTTTGACAACTAAATCCTTATTTTTCTTTCCTTAAAAGAGTGCAAAGACATTGGTGGGTTCTGTTTGGTGAACAGCAAACCTCTCACTCTTTGAACATTCAGCCACTACAATGTCTTTCTGCAGCACTAAACTACTAGGACAGGTCTTGGATCAGACAATCGCTAATTTGTGGTGTCCTACTCTTTGTATTATTTCCTTTTTTTCACTCCTCACAACACCTAAGCTACAACAGTCAAACTTTAAAAATCAATGGTTGTAACACAGAAAAACAATACAGACATTTGTAATCCAGCTCCAGTTAAAGACAGCCCTTAAGACTGTTAAGGAACTATCAAAGATGCATCACTACTTGATCTCTTGCTCCTCTCCAGCTCCCAAACCCACGTGGAGCTTGTAAAAGCCAAGGCAAGGAGGACCCAGCCTTGCTCCTGCCAGCACAGCAGCTGTGTCAGTGAACACTGATGTCATCAGTGAACTTGCCACAGTTGTTTTCCCTCGGACTATTATTTCCCCTCTATGCTGATTCAGTTTTCCACTGAACTCTGCCACCTCTTCCCCTCCCTTTGCCTTTCCTAAGTGGTTAAGACCCTCATAATAAAATCTTTCCAAATAGACTTAAATTAAACGAGAGGCAAAAAGAAAAACCAAACATTCATCCTGCTTAGGAACTTCTCTTTTCTCCACTCTCTGTTGCTTGTGGTCCATCTTACAGGAAGCTTTTCACACCACACCCTGTTTGTTACACTGCACTTGGCCAGGACATGGGATTCCCTCAGCTTCAACATGTAACAGCACTAAATAATTATATCTAGTTTCCTGACACAGATCCTAAACAGTAATTCCTTCATCCACACACTTTTAGCTGCTGTTCTTTAAACCATCATCAATCTTCCAAGTTCTATCATTGCATTAAGACATAATGGATTTTCCAAAGGGTACTTTTGGAAATCAGGGAGCAAATGACCTGTAACTTACTTGTGTGCAATGGTGGTTAGTCGTTCATCATTCACTGCTCTGCGAACTTCAGCACGATGTCTCTCTGTTGAAATACTATTAAAAACACAGCAATATATTTTAGTCAGGGCAAGACATGAACATTGATCTAAAACTTCCAGCTAAAATTAAACTTATGCTCTAAGGGAAAGAAAAAGAGAAGGTTATGTTTCAGCAATTGTCATTTGACTTTTGCTAGAACCTCCTGTCAGAGTTGTAGAGAGTGATAAGGTCATCCCCGAGTCTCCTCCAGGCTAAACACTCCCAGCTCCCTCAGCCTCTTCTCACAGGACTTGTGTTCCAGGCCCTTCACCAGCTTCATTTCCCTCAGTGAGAATGCAGTGAAAATCAGAGAATCATCACATTGGAAAAGACCTCTGAGATCAAGTCCACCCTAGGACCTAACCCCACCAATGGCAACTAGACCATGGCACTAAGTGCCACATCCAGTCTTTCCTTAAACACCTCCAGAGATGGTGACTCCACCAGCTCTCTGGGCAGCACATTCCAGAGAAACAATGAATTGTGTTACTGTTCAAAAGTATTACTGAATAAAAAAACACATTAGTGCTCCTAGAGTATCCCTGTGAAAGAGCTAAAATCCAACCTCCTAATCAGAATAATGAATTGAAAGGATATGGAAGAAAAATTAACGCAGAGCACACAGCACTCGTGATATACCTTGGGCTCAAAGACTTTGGAGTGCTGCCTTGACAAAACTACAAGCTAGCACTCATGAGCTGTCTGCAATCCTTCTATCATTTAGCATCACACAAAGCACCAACAAACCAGTAAAGCTTCACCCACAGAAGCTGCTTCCCTTATCAAAAACTCTCAGCAGAACTGGAATTAAACCTCTGCAACACTGAGAATTGCCTCTCCAAATTCAGATTTGCTTTGTGATACTGGTGATAGAAAGAGCATAAAAGCCAAGAGGGCACAGTTCTTAGTTTAAAAAGGTGAGAGTTACCTGAGCACTTTAGAAAGTTCGCCAAGAAGATCCTTCTTATCCTTTGTGAGGTCTCCCTGTGCACGTAAGGCACTGATGACACCTGCATATGCCTCCAGTTCTGAGGGATTAGAGCAAATAGTATTTCTGTTGAATGCTCACAGCAAACGGGGGAAAAAAAAGCACATTATTTTCAGTATTTCTGACAGGATTCTATTAATTTTCAGCATCATTAAGAGGAATATGTCTTTCAATTATTTAGTGCTTTTCAAAAGGGATTGATGATTTAGAACTCTCTCAGTCAATTACTCTGCAGCTTAAAGCATTTCTGTGAAACAATTGTCTCATCACAGAGGATCATCCAGTTTATAACCCAAATGGGTATGTCAAGCTCTCTCTGAGCTGACAGTTCATCCAAAAAGCTTGAAGACACAATCCCAAACTCTAAAGAGTAGCTCAGAACTCCCTAGAAGCAGGAGAAGAAAATCTTTTCACACCCACCATTAAGAGTTTCATGGAAAAACTTGTCTTGGTAAAGAAATACATTATCAAAAGAGCAACCTTTTTTTTTTGTAATGCCTTTCCTTAACTAGCCTGGAGAATATCAGCTTCAGTTTGTTAGATACATCATAATCTTTCACGCCCATTTCCTTGATATGTGCAACTGCTTAAAGCTGAAAAGAATGGAATGCAGTGAATTAAACCTGCTCAGCACAAAAGAAATAATCCCACTGTTCTTAAACATAAAGCTATCGCAAAGACTAACTCACAAGAATACAACTCTGATTGACCAGAAATGTATAATTCCAGGTGACTGACGTCATGCCTCAGTGTTTTAAAAACTGGAGCATAAAAGGCTAGTGAAATATGTGAATTTTGTCCTACTGAACAGGGTGAAAAACACACCTAATGCAAACAATGAAGGCTGCTAAATTTGCCAAAGAATGACTTGCCATTCTCATCTTCACACAGTTTAAGGAAACACTACTGAAACTCCTGCTTCAAACCAGAAATACAAATTCTTTTGATGCTCACATTGGTGCCTTTCATTACACACACCCATTTCAGCAGTCAACCCAAGCCCATAACAGGTCCCAGTTAACCAAACCCAGTAACAAAAGGTGTAGGGCTAACACCCATGAAGTTTACTGCACAAGAAAGACTGATGCTATTCTGAAAAGCTTTCAGTTTGGGATTCCAAAAAGCTCATTTACAACTCAAATCAAGGGCCCAGCTGAAAAGAGGTCCTGCTCTCCTGTCCTGATTAAAGCAGACAAAACCCAAACCAGAGTCTCTTTGGTTAACTCTGCAGCCTGCTCAGGGATGTTGCAAGACCTACAGAAGCATTTACAGCTTCAGTTATAAAACATTTGCTAATTAATGCAATGGTTATTACTAATATCAACATTTATTTAGACAACCACGTTACAATATTTAGGATACTAATTATTTTCCTCTGTTAATGACTTCAAGTAATTCTCAGATACAACCATGTAATTACTTAGCAAGGATTTTTTTTTCTTTCTGCATTATAAATGCACATTTTGGAAGCCAGTAAAGACCAGAGAACAGCTATAAGTAGCTTCCTCACCCCTGTATCTACATAGCAATCACTAACTGGTGTGGTCTGTCCAACCAAAACCACATCATATGGTCAAAATAGGTTTCACAAAGAAATATCATTATCCTCTTGTTCAGCAATAAACCATGAACATTAGGTATTGCACATCCTGAGATGCATTTCAGCCTCAGCGACACTTTGCAGAATCACAGAACATTCAGAGTTGGAAAGGACCCACCATCAGTCCAACTCCATGCTCTGCACAGGACACCCCAGCAATTCCACCACGTGCCTGACAGCATTTTCCAAATCCTCCTTAAGCTGCATCAGGCTTGGGGCCATGACTACTGCCCTGAGGAGCTGTTCCAGTGCCCAATCACCCTCTGGGGAAAGAGCCTTTCCCTAAGATCTAGCCTAAACCTCCCCTGACACAACTTCAGGCCATTCCCTCAGGTCCTGTCACTGGTTGCCAGAAAGAAGTGATCAGTGCTGCCCCTTCACTTCCTTTCGTGGGAAAAGTGCATACAGCAACAGTGTCTCCCCTCAGTTTCTCCAAGCTGAACAGACCAAGTGCCCTCAGCCACTCCTCATATAGCTTCCTCTCCAAGGCCCTTCACCTCTGTCACTTATGAGGGAGTATCCCTTTTACTACTAAACCATCAGCCAAATCAGGTAGTTGGGCTGAGAGCTGGAATAGCAGGATTCTATAAGCAGATGGATATTGCAGGATGTGACCATCAGACAGCTACTGCTCCCACTGCCTGTGTATCTTCTCCCTCCAGGTCTATGATGTGGCTGCCTGAAGCCAGAGGCTCCCTCAATGGCTGCCAGAGGCTGTGCTCTGTGGCAGTGCCGCGTGTGGGGTCACGGCAAAACAAACCAAATCACTAGCTTTTCAATTTTTTTTCACTTCCTGTCAGCTTAGGTTATGTCACTGAAGGAGGTGTAGCTGCAGCTCTGTTTGGCTGAGCTGCAGCAGCAAGGCTATGCCAGCAAATGGGCCATCAGCTGGTCTGGAAGTGTTTTTTCCACCCTTCCAGCCAGCACAGCTCTGTTAACGGAATTTAGGAGTACAGATCCGGTCCATAGTGCAGGATGCCAAAAGCTTTCTCTTAGCTTCTGTACTGCTTGAGCTTTTGGCATCCTGCACTTTCTCTTAGCTTCTGTACTGCTTGAGCCTTGCTTAAGGCCTAGGGCTGTCACTCTAGCAAACATGCAGCTTATTGCAATGTTGTGTGCAATGCCTGTGTTACTGTTTCAACAGGACACAAATCCCATGTTCCCAAAATATGAAATTAAAAAGGGCAAAGTGAGGAAAAAAATCAGTTCTCAACTCGCTAAAGTGGATGGTTATACAATGTGAAACTTGGCAGAGTGAAGAAGTACAGCACATCATCTTTTAGCATTTGAGTAAAATGAGAACAAGAATATCTGTCACTTGATGGTCACAGGAAGTTGGAGGGAGGCTCAGTTTTCCTCCTGACATCATCTCCTGGATTATGCACCTCAGAAGGAAGTCTGGAAAGAAATCTAAAGCTTTTTTTCTTCCGTTCTAGTTTTATGCATAGTTTAATTGACAAAAAAACTCATTAAATAAATTCAGCCCTAAGAAAACAACTGTGCAAGACAAAACCACAGATCTGACAAAGTCTCTCGCGGGGTAGCCAAAACCAGATGCGTAAGGAAAGAGGAAATATGTTTATTACCTTCCAAAAGATAAACCCATCTCTCCTTGCATAAAGAGACCTACAAGGCCAGAGCACAAAAACATCTATCTCCTGGGCCTGGGTCTCAGATATTGAACTACATGTGGAACAATGCAAAAAGTGCCTGTGGTTATGGCAGTTGAACAAGAACATTGTTTTCCCACTCCCTCCAGTAATTTGTGCGAATTACAAACCAGAGCCATCTCCTCTCCTCCTGTTCTAAGCCTTTACAATAACTTCCATACTGGAACTCAGTCCTACAGTGCCAGTTAAACCAGTGTTCCATGACCTTTTTTTCTGTGTGCACAAAGGTGTTTAATACAGCATTGGGAAAAACCAAACCAAACCAAACCTCTAAATATTCCTCTCTCACAGAGCATCTTCTTGAATGTTAATGCAAAACAAAGCCAGCACTGCAACCCTGCACCATCAAGGCAGAGATGTGACTAGGACACTCATGAGGGATTCAATCAAACCAATTCTCTCTCCATTTTGCTGGGACCGAGAGCATCTGCCAAGCATCACTTTAAGCCATGGCTGTCACACCAATGCAGGAAATGACTTCTAAGTTGCCTGTACACATATTACAGTACTACATGGAAGCAGCAGACAGGCAGATCTTAGAAGGGGCAAAAACATACAGACCCACAAATTGCATCTTACTGTACCCAGTTTGCGGAGGATCCTCTTGCACTCATCCCTGCTGAGGTCCAGGAGGGTTGGCCACACCACAGGCATCCTTCCTCCCTCGTGTCTGTGCTCCCACAGAGCTCAGTCTCGCTGGGAAAAGGAGATAAATGCTGTAAGTGCAAGTACACTATGTATTGATTTCCCAGATTAATGGGAACTCTCCTCAGCCTGCTCACAACTCCAGCGACAAATCCCGCTCCAAGCTCGGTAATGACATGCAGGAATTCGGCAGCTTCCCAAGGACACACACACACTTCCTATACTCTCTCGCTCAGATGCATTGCCCAAGCCTTTTTTGCCTAGTTTCCTAGCCCCTTCTCAAGCCTTCTTTTTTCCACGCTGAAACGCTCCGAGTCTCCTCCCTCTCTTTATGCACAGAGCACCTATTAAAAGAACTCTCCCAGCTAACCGCACGCTCCCCTTCCCCCCAGAGAACGCGTTTTGCACAAGCCTATTATATATACGACAGCACTGCAAAAACCAGCGTGAAAATTCGCTTTCACCACCCCCAAACCCCCTCAAATCCGGGCACATCCCCGAGCCCCATCGCACCGCGGGGGTGGCGGGGAAGGAGGGCGCATCCCCGCGATGCAACGAGAAGAATAAAGGGAAAAGAGGAGCTGGAGGCGAGCGGGGAGAGCCAGCCTGGAGCAGCGCGGGCAGGGAGGTAGGGGT